ACAGTAAATTATAAAAGAAATTATCAAATTCAAAATTAAAAATAGAGTTTAAAATTAAAATCAAGAAGCAAAAATAAGTTAGATAATACTAAATTTAAAAATAGAGTTATAAAAGTATAATAGAAGTAATTGTAAAATAATAATTCTTCTAATAATAACTTATCTGATTTTAATTTATTTACAAATTACTATGATTAATTATTAAAAAATAATGTTTTTTAGTTAGAATAAATAAAAAAGAAATTTTAACATAAATCAACTAATAAGAATATTACCTTTAATCCTGTATATATAGTAAAAATAGTTAATAATATTGATAGGTCAAAGAGTTGAAAATCAAAACATTAATAAAATTATTAATTACATTATTTTAGAATAATTTTATAGAATAAAGATTATTGCAAAATATTTCATAGAATCAATTTTAAAGAAATATTATAAATTTACAATAGATTTAAATTTATCATATGATATAAAACCTATTAATAATATTTAAAATTCAAAGTTATTATATAAAGAAAAACTATTATTAATACTTATTTATCTTAAAAAGTAGAGATAGAAAGGTCAAAAAATATTCTTTTTTTAATAATTTATTATTGATCATTTATGTAAATAATTTGATATTTTTAAATATAATTGTTAAATTTTTATAAGATTTATTAAAAAATCTAATTTATTTAATAGTTAAATTTTAAATTTATAAAATTTTTTAATTCTATAATTATAATTAACATAATAAGTATTAAGAAGCTATTAATTTATTTTATCAAATAAATATTGTAAGAAAAGTCAATCATATTAAAGCAAATGAAAATTATTTTTTAGTATTTATTCTTTAAAATATTTGAAGATAAGATTATAAGCTTAAAAAAAAATTATTAGATTATTTAGATATAAATATAATTCTATAACTTAAGAAAATATAAATAATATAAAATAATATATTATTCAATAGATTATTTATAAAACTGATATTATTTTAAGACTTACTCTATGTGTATTTATATATGTATAATTTTTAAAAGTTAATTCAAATAAATTTAATGACTGTCAATAAAACTATAAATATATTTAAGATTAAATTTATATAAATGAATTTTTAAGACCAATCTAAAATTAATTAAACTAATAATATATTAGAGAAAATAAAATTAAAATTTAACTAAGATAAACATATTAATTATATATACTGATATTTTAACTTATATTTTAATTCTTTAGATTTAATATTCTCTTAATCTTAAAAATTATATTAGTTATTTTATATAATACTATATTTAAGGTTTGTTTAAATTTATTTTAAATTTGATAAAATATCTAAAACTTTAATTTTACTAATTTTTACTAAGATTTTAATATAGTTTTTTATTTTTATAAGTTTAATATAGTTTTACTTCTTTTTAAATTTCATAAATTTTTAATAAGATTTAATATAATTTTTTAAAATTTTACCTTTTACTATTTATACAATTGTAAAACCTCTAGATTTTATCTAGAAATCTTAATTATACTTTATATATTAATAATATTAAAAGAATATTCTTATTTATTATTATATAATAATAAATGTAATGATAAATATGAATTTAAAAGATTAAATATATAATATAAAAGAAAATATAATAAAAAAAGATAATTAGCTGATATAAAAAAAATTTTACTACATCAGATTTTAATTCTTATTTTATAATAAAGAAATCAAAAAATTAAGATAAATATAATAATTTTTCAAATGATATTAATATAATTTATATTTTAGTTAAGATTGAGATAATGAAAAAGATATTAAAAAAAAAAATTTTTAAGTGATGAGATACCAAATAAATTGAATGATAATAAATATAATAGATATGATAAATATGATTAAGTTATTATTATAAAGATAAAAATATGAAAAGAAAATTTATCAAAAATAAGTTTAATTATTTTTTAAAATAGTTTAATTATATAAATATAAAATTTATAATTGCTTTTCTGTAGTTAAAATAAAAAACTAGAATTATGTAATCAAATTATTATTTTTTTAGAAGATATAAATTATATTATTTAAAAAATTGTAAAAAGTAATTATTTATGATTAATATATAGAAATAGATTTTTTAGAAAATTAATATTATCATATTAGATTATAAGTATTTTATGAGATTTGTATTAAAACAAAAAATGAAATAAAAAAATATTTATCTTAGTTGATCATTATCAATAACAAGCTTCATATTTATTTATTTTTTCTTAATTAGTTACTTATAAGATCGCTAAATAAAACTTAAAGATTTTATAAGTCATTTAAATAGTAAAAAATAAAATCTTATTAAAAAATCTGTAAAACTCAAGAAAAATCAATTATATTAAAGTTTATAAAATAGAAATTATATAAAAAATTAGCAAAACTAATATTTAAATATTTTATCAAATTAAAAATATATTTAAATAAGTAATTTTAGTTACTTATTTTCTTAAAATAATTTATGATACTAATTCTTATAATTCAGATTTGTGATCAATTTTATAAATTATACAATCTAAAAAAGTAAAACTATTTTATTTTTTATTAAAATAATAATTACTTTATATTATTTTCTTTTATTTAACTTAATATTAAAATTTATTTAAATTTTAAACTATTTTTTTTACTTTAGCAATAAGATTTTTGTTATAATTAAAAAGTAAATTTGTTTTATTATAGTAATTATAAATATTAAAAATCTATAAAATAAATATTTAATATTATAATTTAAAAAATTTAGATTTTTATTTATATTATATATTACCTTTTAAAGAATTATACTTATAATTATATTTTATTTAATAATCAACTAAAAATATTAATATTTAATTTTAATTTAAAAATTATTCTTATAATATTTTTTTAATAAAATACTATTTGATAAATTTTATTATAAATTAATATAAATCTTAAATAAATTTTTATACTATAAATTAATAATATTTATTATAGTATTAATTATTTATTATTACTTATTTTTAGATAAAATTGCTTATATTTAGAATTATTTAGTTTTAAATAAATATAATACTTATAATATAAGAAAATAAATTTATTTATTAATAGTATAAAATTTTTATAATTTTGTATTTTAATTTTATTTAAATAAAATAAATTAAAAAATATATATATAAATATTAAAATATTTTTTTTTTACTTTAATTAAATAAATATATTAAATTTAATTATTTATTTTATAATATTATTTTTAAATTATTAATAAATTCAAAATAAACATTTTTTTAAAATATAATTATTTAGTAAATAATTTATTGTAATTAGTAAAATTAGTAAATTATATTATAAAAATTATATTAAAAAAGATTAATTAAATTAAAATAAATTTTTATAGATATTATTAATATAATAAATAATAAATATATTTAATTAAGTTTAAAATTTTATAAAAAAATATAATATTAAATTATTTTAAATGAAAATATAAACCTGTAATTTACTATTTAATCTTTATTATATTTTTCTTCATAATTAATTTCAATTTCACAAATTTCTTCAAATTCCTTAATTTTTTTATAATTAATAAAAGGTTGATTTAACCAACTGGATAATATAATCATGATTTTTTCTCTTTCATTTATTAATTCTATTGATGATATTATATTTTGTTTTAAATTTAATTCTTGTGTATACATATTTAATATATTTAATGATTTATTAACTAAATAAAAATAATATAAAATTTGTTAATTTAATGTTATAAAATTTTATTAATAAATTTAACTAATAATTACCAAATGTTTCTAATGGACATGTTAAATATAATGACGTATTATATGTAAATTCTTCTCCCATACTTTCACAAGTTTCTTCAAGTAATGATTCCATTTGTAATGTTTGCATTTTCATTTTTGTATATTGTAAACTCTATTCGTTTATTAAAAAAAAAAAAAAAAAATATTAAAAAAAAAAATTATTAAAGAAAAAAATTTTTTTTAATCATTTTATAAAAAGGATTACCATTTTTTCAAATATTTGATGTAAAGAGCATAACAAATTTTTATACGTTTCATTTTCAGTTTCATGATTTTTTTCTAAATTAGGTAAATTATCCAATTCTTCTTTCCAATATAATGAATAATCAATTTGCCTAAAGTATATAAAATACATTTTATTATTAATAAAACATTGGGATGTGATTAATATCGATTAATATCGAGTCAATATACCGTTCTTGTAATTTTATATTCATAAGGGAATTGGCCGTCGTAATACCATTGTCATTAAGTTCTGACCAAATTTGCCTTGCTCTTTTGAATTCGTTCAATTGAGTGTTTAATCTTCGTTTAATAGTTGAGGGCTGTAACATTTTATCAAAACAAGACTTATCATACAAAAAAAAATGAATATAAATATAAACTTTTACACAAAATTTTTGTGTGATTTTGACATATTGAGATGGGGGATCATTAGGACTATTACGGTGACCAATAACATAGAACTGATTAATAAACACTCATAAATGCAATAAAATGAGACATATTTGGAATGTGCTAATTTGTCTCTTGATATACGAATAAAGATTACTTTGGTGAATTGAATGGGACTATATTGATAAATAATAAATAAAACTTGGTTGATAAATTCTAAAATTTGTCGAAACGGATAGTAGTTCTAACTTTCTTTTTATTTATTAGACGTCCTTCAACTTGTTGAATTAGATTTATGCTCAATTCGATTGTTACGTTCGTGTAATTTTCGCGTTTTCATTAAAACGAATATAGTTTAACGAAATCGTGTTTTACAAATAGAAATAATCGGTTAACACTTGAATTTTGTATTCTTTCACGATGGATTATAAAGGGTCATGTGAGAGTTTCTCTACAAAAGACGTGGAAGTCTCTAGCAAGACAAAAAGAGAGCAATTGTTTTAATCAAAAGATTTACAGAATTTTTTTTTTTTTTTTTTTTTGATCACCACCAATCATTTTATAAATTTTGAAATTTTGAACAGCCCCAACCAAAAATTAAAATGATTTCGCGAAATCAATTAAAACGTTTGCATTCAACAATAGTTAAACCTTATATTTACAATAAAGGTTTGCGAAGTTTATGTTCAACATCTATAAAATTTCACCGTGCTCAATATGATACAAAACAAGAACCTGAAACGCACTTTGGATTTAAGAATGTTCCAGAAAGCATGAAAGAGAATTTAGGTAATTAAAAGCAACTTTAAATAAATCAACGATCGATGCGGATATATAATACATATTTTGTCAATGATTGATTAGTCGGACAAGTTTTTGAAAACGTAGCAACAAAATATGATGTAATGAATGACGCCATGAGTTTAGGAGTTCATAGGTTATGGAAAGACCATTTCATTAGAACTATGGCTCCAGGACCTGGCACAAAATTATTGGATGTTGCAGGAGGAACTGGTAGGTTCCGATAATCAGTTAATTTGAATCATATTACACATTAATCTGTTGTGGCTCATGGTGTTACGTAGGTGACATCGCCATGGGATTCCTGAATTATTGTAAAGAGATTCATGGAGATGCTAGTGCTCAAGTCACGCTATTGGATATTAATCCTAAAATGCTCGAGGTTGGTAAAAAACGATTCGCTAAATCTTCATACAATCATAGTAAGCATTAAAAATTCAACTTTATGTTATCATCATAATCATAATAATAAAAATTATGATACTTAATCTCGTCCTCTTTCTTTTATACTATTATTAAGCATCACAAGCAACATTTGAAATTGGAAACGCGGAAAATCTTTCATCAATTCCATCAAATTCATTTGATGTATACACAATAGCATTTGGTATCCGTAATTGTACTCATATAGATCGTGTATTACGTGAAGCGTATCGAACCTTGAAGCCCGGTGGAAGATTTATGTGTTTGGAATTTGGAAAGGTCCAAAATCCTTTAATCTCATCGTAAGTTAAATATACCCTTAGATGATTCACCAATCAAAAAGAAAATTGACTTGATATGTATTCGATGTATTTAGGATATATAACTTTTATTCCTTTCAAATAATTCCGGTGATTGGACAAATAATTGCTGCAGATAGAGATTCTTATCAATATTTAGTGGAAAGCATTCGTCGGTTCCCTTCACAAGAGCAATTTGCTGAAATGATAAAAGACGCGGGATTTACTATTGTAGGAGATGGCTGGGAAGATCTGACTTTTGGAATTGTGGCATTACACTCTGGGTTTAAACTTTAATCATATTATAATGAAAACGTTATACCTTCATTAGTTAGAATTTTCATAGAAATAATACCAATACAGTATATGCATATTCACTGATTTTTTTTTTTATAAGCATTGGGAAACCAAATTTAGTTGGTTACGACATATGTCACATGATACGTCCATCCATACATATAAAAAAGTTGTGATGGATAAAAAATGTTTTTTGCTCACTCTTTAAAAATCATCATGACTTCGCATCTATTTATTAGATTATTTAATCATTCGCCCAAATACCTTTTTATTCGAAATAATTCTTTCAAACCCTATTCTCTCTTAACAAATTCTTACTCTACTGTCGCGCCATTATCTACAAATAAAGAATCAAAATTAAAAAAATATTCCCCTTACATTTATTCGTATTTTTCTTGGGTGATATTCGGTTCAATGTTGTTACATTTAAATTGGTCTAAAATGAAATATAATGATTATAAAGAAAATATGCAATTAAAAATTACAAAACTCGAAGAAACGATTGTTCAATTAGAAAGTGGTGAAAACATGGATGATGATTTAACAACGAAAAGTATCGCTGATTCAGATAATGGTAAGTTTTCCGAATTTATATTATTAATGATGTTGATTTTATTTTTTAATTAAATCTTTAAATATTAAACTTTTTTTAATCGTAAAAGTACATAGTGAAGCAAAATTGAATTATGAACAGCAACAATCAGACACCAACGTCATCATAGAGACCTCTTCAGTTAAATGGATATAATGATCAAATATCTATATCCATAAGATTTTCATTTTTTAGGTTTTCATCCGCTTCTTTCTTTTTCTCCTTTAATTTCACTTCTAATGCTTTTAAGAGCATTGTACATTTAGATGACAAAATTTGTAGAGAATCAAAGACAATTTTCTCCGAATCTAGAATTCCCGTAGATTCAACTCTAACTTTAAACGATCGATCAATCACTTTTTTTAGTAATAGAAAATTTTAGTTTAATAAATGGAAAGAAAAAAAAAAATTCTTACAAATGAAATGATCTCGTATCCGTGTAAGTTGTACTTTGTCTTCAAATTCTTTATGTCGTAATACTTCCCGACTGACCATGTCAATCCGTGGGTTTACTACCTTGGCAACTTCTATAGTTTTCCCATCGACTTGAACGACAAGAAAGTTATATGATTTTGAATGTTTTAACATTTCAATTTAAGTTGTGAGATGTTTACCATTTTCATCCTTGACTTCAACTACACCTGGGGTAAAACACGAGGCAAATTTAATGGCCAGATCTCCAGTAATTTCCTCCTTCAAAATTATTTCTGGCATTAAGCGATACGATGCGGTTGCTGAGTGAATGATGGAAACTTGTTAAGATCTAGGGTGGAGAACATGTAGAATTAAAAATCAAAAAGTTAAAATGTTTACCAACGGGGGACCATTTTGCATGTTCTTTGCCACATCCTTTTTCACAATGTGCTTCCAATTCTATTTTCTGACCTGGTCTCATTTGTGCTACAAGGATATCTTGATGAACGGGTCGAATCTGAGAATCTTTGAACCTGTCAGCTTGATCGCCTTTAGGTTCCCATATTAGAGCTGTAGAGTAGACTAAAAACAAAAATCATATATCAATAAGTTAAATAAAAAATTATGCATTACCAAAAATGAATAAAGACCATTGTGATTTAAATATAATTTTTTTGGATCCGTTTCATTTGCCGCAGTTTTAGGATTACGCTTGCATTCTTGTTTCAGTTTAAATACAATTGTGTTCTGATCTGTTGGATGCTCGGTCGCTAATTTTTACAAAAAAAACAATCAGAAGCGAATCAATAAAGTACCAGATAACAATGATTTCATTGGAAAATTCTTGTAAATACATAGTTTAAAGTCAAATTCATCAGGATTGGCTTTTATTGGAATTAAGCCTAACCGATGTGCCAAGACTTCATCTTGTACTATTGATGTATTGTCATAAACAAAAACCTTTTCGATGGCCAAGGTTGGTACCTAAATCGAAGATCAATCTTGTAAATATTTTAAAAAGTTAAAATTTTAAACCTTATCAAATCAAGACTTACCTCGGCGATCATAATCCTTCTTAACGCGTTTGCTATTGATGCATCAACTCCAATTAGGTCAAATTCCATATCATATTGAGATTTTTTTTCGATGGAGACTCTTAGTTTCTAGAAAGGGGGAAAAAAAATTGTAAACGAAAAATAAATGTTTGAATTGATTTATATTAAAATAGAAACTCACCTTCCTTATTTTTTCTAAAAAATCAATATTTGAATATCGATTACTAGTATGAAAAGGAAAGTCACTTGATGATATCTTTAATAGATAATACCGAAACAACTATTAGTTAAAAAATCGAATAGCGAAACATTAGCCTTTACATACACTGGAAACGCTGTCACGTTCTACAATAACTCTGCTTTGGATTAGCTCTAAACGATCTTGAGCTGCAGAGGCTCGCTTAGAAGATGATTTGCTCATTATATGTTCTTTTTTTTTTCGCGTAGGCAAAGCGAATTTTTTTTTTTTTTTCACGATAATTTTTATTTATTTAAAAGATGACAAATTTCGAGATTTAACATATGATTGGACGATTACTGTGTAAAAAAGCTGGTACTAAAATTAGCTTTATGTGCGACAATGGTTCTTATAATATTTGGGGTTTGCGTTTGACATAAAGTAAAATTTTTGAAACATGTACAATGCATTGCATACACATGCATTTAGAAAATACAGACATTCATCTAATGAATCGGATGTTTTCTTCCGTTTGACTTAATTTCTTCCAAAAATTTTGAATAGTAGTAAAAGGTTCAATCCTTATCACTTTTCATTCCACTTTTCATTTTGTTTTCATTATTTTTTCATTTATTTTATTTTTTTTTTTTTTTAAGGTATACCCATCTTTTAATTAATATTATTTCTCAAATATGAAAAAATAAAAGTGGTAATTTACTGAACTTGTTTTTTTTTTTTGATTTTTTTTCAACCAAAAGTCTAAGCATAATTAATGAAGGTCCTTATCTGTGGCGGAGCTGGTTATATCGGTTCTCATATTGTTCGTGAACTTGCCGCTCTACCTGATTATGAAGTTGTTATTCTTGATAACCTCTCTAAAGGACACGTAGAATCCATTCCTAAAGGCGTAACTTTTGAAGAAGCAGATATCTGCGATAAAAGATCAATTGAGCCTGTTTTCGAAAAACACAGACCTAAAGCCGTGATGCACTTCTGCGCTTCCATTGAAGTTGGGGAAAGCGTCGAGGATCCTTTACGTTATTACGAAAATAATGTCGCCGGAACAATTTATTTATTGCAGACCATGCGAAAATATGATGTAAAACATTTTATCTTCTCCTCAACTGCCGCTATCTTTGGTAATCCTGAAACGACCCCCATAGAAGATAATGATACAACCATTCCAATTAATCCTTATGGTGATACAAAACTCACCGTAGAAAAAATCCTCAATTGGTGTGAAAATGCGTATGATATAAAGTACGTTTGCCTTCGATATTTCAATGCCTGTGGAGCCCATGAAAGCGGTGAAATCGGTGAGGATCATAATCCAGAAAGTCATTTGATTCCTCTCGTACTTCAAGTGGCTCTTGGTCGTAGACCTCAAATTAAGATTTACGGTGATGATTATGATACTAGAGATGGAACTTGTATTAGAGATTATATACATGTTACAGATTTGGCACACGCACATATTAAGGCTTTGGAGTACCTCATGAAAGAAAATAAATCTCAAAAATTTAATTTGGGTTCAGGTGAAGGGTATTCCGTTAAAGAAGTAATTGAAGCCGCTAGAAAAGTTACGGGACATCCAATCCCTGCCGTGGTCGAAGGTCGTAGACCTGGCGATCCAGCCGTGTTGATTGCTGGTTCGAGTCGAGCTGAAAAAATACTTGGATGGACTAGAAAATATAAGAATGTTAAAGACATCGTTGCCACCGCATGGAAATATCATCAAGCATTTCCTCATGGATTTACCGGAAAATAATTTGTGGGCTTGGTTTTCCAATCTGTAGGAATCTTTTTTTTAATAATTTATTAAAATCATTAATAAAGACCGACTTTCTACACGTGACATAAGTAATAAAATGTATATCACGTGATTCTTGAGAATATGTGGCTATACCCCAGTATAAATACGCCCTATTTTTAAATTTTAAACTAAGCAAAACCCTCTTAAAGGTTATTTGATACAGTTTTGTGTGTAGTATATACATTCATTTTCGAGTATTTCGAGTAAAAGCTGTAAATATTTATCAAGATAGGGTCAGAAATTAGTTTATTTCCCTTCTCAACTAGTGCGATTTCTAAGATGGTACAACAAGGAAAAGGCAGTATTATCGAGTCAAAAGTTCAAAATGTTACCCCAACGCTACCACACCTTGTCGACCTTAGCGCTAAATGCACATTAATTAAACAATTAACTTCGGAAATATTACAAAAAGCAGAAAAAAATCAAAATGTAGGTGAAACGGTTCAAATTAGTTAAATCGATTTACTTCCGATTTCTTTTTATTAAATGATTTGATTTATTATAAAAAAGTTTTCGGCGGATCCATCAACTGATGGAATAAAATCACAACTTGCCAGTTCATTTATACAACTTAGATCACTTAATCGTAAATCTAATTTAGAAAAGAATTCGGGCAAGTTTGCTACGCAGGAAGCGAAATTGGCTATGGATAAAATTCATCTACAATTGCAAGATCTCAATTATATGAAAAACTATCTTCAAAGAGAGATTCGCAAATGTCGATCATTTAGATCCATATATCAAAAGGTTCCTCTTTTGTCAGAAGAGGAATTTTTAAAAAATGCGTCTGATGAATTAACGGCTCAATTGCCCGAAGGAGCTACAAAAAGACAACAACAACATCATAGAATGCTTCAACGATTGAATCATGAGAAAGAAGAGCGTTTAAGGTAAAGAAAAAATAAATCTTAAATTATTTATTAGGGATCTAATTAAAAGGAATTGTTAAACTTTGATTTTTATAAATCTAGGTTGCAAGAAGTTTTACATAACAAGTTGAAAAGAAAGATGGAATTAGGAGATAGTAACTTGGCCAAGAAATCAAAGATTGAACAAGTTCACAAAGAGTTTGAGACGTTTTTAAAGGTGAGTAAAAAAATTAATATCATTTCGTTAAAACATCTTTTCCCTTGTTGATTACTGTTTTTATTTGTCTTTAGGAGGCAATTCCTCTCAAGAAATTATTAGTTACGGAAGAGGCCGAGATCAAAATGGAGACTGAATAATAATCAGTTTGGTTATGCAAAATTATTATTTAATGTATGTATGTATATACTGAATTCCTTATCTTATTTATAAAATTCCGTGACAAATTATAAAGATTGTCATAATAGATGAATATTTTGTAATGTATTGTAAAATTTTAAAAAACTATTATTAATATTTAATATAGTATATATATATATTTCTTTCCTCCCACTTTTCATATGGAAGTATACTGCAACAAAACCAAAACTACATAATTGTATTATTACTAAATAATGCGTTTATGTTTTTATTCATATAGCGAATATTGATTACGTAAAATCAAACTTAAGTTTTCTATAATGTTATTATTTAATATTCTCTAAATAATATAAGTATGATAAGTACTCAAAAACATATTTCATTATTAAAATTAATTGTAATAAAATATTTTGCTATCGGATATATATATCTTTTTAATTAGCATTGAAAATTTTAATAAAAAATACTATTATTAATAAGATACTTAAAATTATTGATATCAAACTTCTTTTTAATTATAGCTAATTATAGTTATTATATTATTAATTACTATTAATATTATTAAAACTACTATAACAAAAAATGATTAACTCAGATTTAGTTTTTAATAAAAATCTTATAAATTCTTAATTTGATTAATATAAAATATAATTAAAAAATAAACTTATTCTTTATAATGTTATAAAAATCAAATCAAAAAATTATTTTTAAATATATAAAAATAATCTAAAATTGTTATTATATATATTATAAATTTAATAAATTTATAATATTTAAAATAATTATTAAAAAAAAATAGAATTAAAGAATTTTTTAAAATTTAAAATTATTATTTTTTATTTAAAATTTATAAATAAGATTAATATTTAGTTTAAAATATATTTAATAAGCTATTTAAAACCAAATTAATTATCTACTTTTATAATTAATGTTTATATTAATTAGATTTATTTTTCTAAAATTTATATATTTAAATAAGAATTTATTTAAATATTAATTTTAATTTTTTAAAAATTAAAAAAAATTTTATACATCTTATACAATTGACTTCCTATAAAGTTATATTTTTTGAGAATAAAAAAATTGATATAATTATAAAAATACTATATAATATGACTAAAGAGAGGTTTTTTTTAATAAATTTATTAGTAATTTGAATCAATAAAAGTATATTTATAAAGAAAAATGTGATTATACATGAGGTAAAAAATTAATTATATATGTATTATGTAATTATTAATATTTATTTTATATTAATACATAATATATATCTAATATATGGGAGTGTTTCTAGGAAAATCAGGTTCTGAGAAATTTTTGACTAAAATTTAGAGCTTAATACATTTAATCTAATAACATCAAAAACTAAAATGCAATAAAAATCT